CCGTGGGTCCATTCCTGCACCTTTTCTCTAAAGCGAGTCTCCTAGCCAGATGTTGTGCTGTGTGGGATTCCACGCCTGTGGCTCAAGCATTCCATAACTCCCTGCATAGGTTTGCTGGCTGAGGCTCTCTGGTTAGGAAAGACAAAGCCATTCCTGGAATAGGGATTATCTTTGTGAGAGTGAACCAGTAGGCCTTTCAGAATAGGAAAAATTCCAATGTCCAGGATGGTTTCCTTGAGGAATAATAATATATTAGGGGCTTAGTGATGGTTTTTGTTGCTGGCAAGTAGGACATTTATTTATTTATTTATTTATTTATTTATTTGAGACGAAGTCTCATTCTATTGCCTGGGCTAGAGTGCCATGGAGTCAGCCAAGCTCACAGCAACCTCAAATTTCTGGACTCAAGACATTTAGAAGTAACTAGATTGGCCTTGGTAAATGTGAGCCCATGCTGTTGGGTCCACATATGGCCTCCATCTCTGATATATGGTCACTCCATTTATGTGCCCATTATCTCAACTCTGGGATTCCTAATGACAAAGTCTAATTAATATCAATTGGGAGAGCCATTTTGTCTACTTTGTTGTTTAGTGTCTGGTAGATGCTTTCTGGTGGGTGTTAACATATGATACAAAAGTCTTCATACTTTGTGACTACTCCCATATGTCACTTCCTCTACACAGATTTCCTTTGTTTCTGGTTTTCCAATCATTTCATTCCAGGCCTTCAACCAGACTGCCAAGCCATTGGCCATAGCCCAGGAATCTATATTTTCACCTCAGTCCATTTCTTCTTCCACCAAAGCAGATGACCAGATATCTGTTCCCAGCTCTGTCCTTTGGGAAGATTTTCCCTCTCCAGTGTCTTTCAGGACCACCCTGAATGCGGCTATAATGCAGTCACTGTCCATTTTCAGCTTTGTGTAGTTAATGAGTCAACCCATCTATAAACCAATCTTGGACTTTTCTCTCCACTTTAGTCATATGGGACCCATCACAGGGCCATTGGTATAAGCCATGGGAGAATTAGTGCAACTCTAATGGGTGACATGAGGGTCTGAGCTATTTGCCCATACAGCTTACTTGTACCCTATGGTCCTGCTTGGACTCGATCCTGGATATACCATTTCCATCATATGATAGATAGCTACTGAGCCTATACAAATTTTTGTCTTGGTGGGATTGACAGAACACAGCTTATAATGGGAAGCTCTGAATGCATAGGCCATTTGATGTTCAATAGTCAAATATTCTTTTTTCTTTTTCTTTTTCTTTTTTTTATTGAAGTCATTTGGAGTGGAAATATAGTCAAATATTCTGCCTCTACCAGAGTAACTTGCTCTCTGTAACTTGCCAAGAACTATTTTTCAAAGGACATATAATTCTCTGTTATGGGTGGCATGACCCTTCTCCAGAATCCCAGGGGCAAGAATTGTGATTCTCCCACTGGGGTTCTTCATAGGCCTCTTATTGTATCTTTTACCACAACTGACATCTCCAACACCATACGGCATGCTGGACCATGTGACCCAAGTGGCAGGGCTGCTTGCACCATATCTTGGACCTGATGGAGTGCCCTTTCTTGCTCCAAGGCTCCTCAAAGCTGCTAGCCTTCCATATTTTCTAGTATATGGGCAGGAGCAATATTCCTAAGTATGGAATATGTTGCTTCAAAATCTAAAGAGACCTCCAGGCTCTGTGCTTTTTTTCTTTATGGTGAAGGTGAAAGATCCTCTCTTTCACTTTCTGGCAAGCCTCTGACCACTGGACTCCTAAAAACCATGCTGAAGTGGCTGGCCCCTGAATCTTCATGAAGTTTATCTCCCAATTCTGGAATACATGTGTCCTACCGAAGCATCCAGCCACCTCTACCTGACCACAGGACACCCAATATGAAGTGAGTTGCCAATCTTAACTGGGAATTGTCTGAGACACCAAACCACAAATGTGGGAAGCCCAGAGTACCCCATCATGAAGGGAAATTGGCATACCTAAGATCAGGTTTAAGTAGCTTCTAAAGACCCAAGTAAATTGCTTGAGCAGGCAGCTCTCACTCACAGTGTGCCTACTCCTTTCACACCCAATCCAACCTATATTCTTATAGGTATTAACAGTTCCCTATGATTAGTTGACAAATGAAGAAGAAATTCAAGCCTGGATTACAGACAGCTCAGCATGATGTGACATCACCAGTCAAAATTGAACTGAAATAGCAGTCCAACTTAGGTGTGGCCTGAAAGACAATAAATAATGGAAATTATGAGGCGGGCGCAGTGGCTTGCACCCGTAATCCTAGCACTCTGGGAGGCCGAGGTGGGCGATCGTTTGAGCTCAGGTTCGAGCCAGCCTGAGCAAAGAGTGAGCCCCGTCTCTACACAATAGAAAGAAATTAGCTGGACAACTAAAAATATTCATAGAAAAAGTTAGCCAGGCATGGTGATGCCTGCCAGTAGTCCTAGCTACTTGGGAGGCTGAGACAGGAAGATCACTTGAGCCCAGGAGTTGGAGGTTGCTGTGAGCTAAGCCCAGGTAACAGAGTGAGACTCTGTCTCAGTAAAATAAAATAAAATAAAATAAAATAAAATAAAATAAAATAAAATAAAATAAAATAAGATAAATAATGGAAATTCTCATACTGAGTACGACTTTTATCAGTATATCTCATGGTCCATTGGCCAAGAAAAACAGATGGACGCATGTTCAAAAACTTGGAAGAAAAAACAAAACACCAAGGGAGTGAAAACTAACGATTTAGGGAAAATGTATGTGAGTGAATATCTCAGAATGATTCCCCAGAATGTGAGAATATTCGTGTCCCACATTAATGGCCATCAAGTAGCCTTTGTGGTGGAGATGATCTGAATAACCAGTGGACAAGATTTCTCATTTTTTGATTCTCAGATGCTTTTCTCAAACACCTCAGTACTTGCACAATTATTTATGGACTTACTATTGGCTTCCTCTCAACAAAGCTGATCTCCACACTGCCACTGCTGAATGTCAGCCTGACCTTCAGCCCTCAATTCAGTGCCAGACTCAGCAGACAAAGACTGCCACCTGGTGGCAGGATGATGACATCGCCCACTTGTATAAGTTTTATTACTCTTAATACTAAGGAATAGCAATTTGGTAATTTGTCCTCACTGGAATAGAAATTTATTCTAGATAATCTGCCTTTCTTGCCTACCATACTTCTGCCAGTGATATCATACATGTTTCCAATCGAGGAACTAATTTTACAGTAAAAGAAGTAAAATTAGAGTTTATGGGATTCACTGGTTTCAACATGTATCTCATCCCCTCCAAATTCTAAGCAGAGACATTATTCAAAGTAATCTCTTCAAACTTCAGGGCCCCAGAGGGAATGGAGGCCCAGCTCCTGGGAAATGGGATTGCAGGAATGAGGTGGGAAAGCAGGGCCGTGGCTTCTAACTGGGGGTCAGGGTAGGGCCCTCTCCTGCAGAATATAAGGATGGAAAAGCCACTAGACCCAGCAAGGAGAAATATAAGGATGGAAAAGCCACTAGACCCCAGCAGAGGGGATCCGACTTCTTTCCACCAGCGGGTTCACATTCAGAGTGGCACTGCGGCATTCAGGGTTGCTCTCAGCTGGGGAGCACCTAAGCTAGTTATGTCATACCCCCGTTCCCTCCACATGCCTTTCTAATGCAAGTCTTCGTGTGTTTGCTTACATGATTTTTGGTATGTACTTCTCCATTTATCTGACTACTACTTGTGCCCCAGCATCTCCAGGAAGTCTTCTTTTACTGGCCACATTAATCCACAGTGATCTCTTCCTAACCAGAACACTTCCTGTTAGCATTTATCATTCACTCTTCAATAATAAGTGGACATATCTTGTCTTCCCAAGTAGATTCACAGGAACAATTTCATAGACCTCATCGTATGAACACAGTAACTGACACAGTTTGGTATGGATAAATGCATACTGAGTGATTGATTGTCTGATATAGCCACGCATGTTAAAGAGCGAGTGCCGTAGGCATTCATGGATGGAAGAGATCGTAACACAGTGAATAGGCACTCAATAGTCACTTGAATGAATAAGTGAGTGATTAAATTGAGCAATGGGTTGACATGACAGGGGAGGCTGCATGAAGAGAAAGGGCCTTAATTTTGCCTGAGAAGTGGAGATGTGTTTAGAGGAGATCAGTAAGGAGCAGGGGACTCGATGGTTATAGCATCTGCCTTCTCAACTGTCTACCACTGCACTCTTCCCTCCTAGAATCTCTATGCCATCACTGCCTGCTCCACTGTTAATACTGCTTACTAAAGAAGTAAGATCAAGGCTGGGCGCGGTGGCTCACGCTCGTAACCCTAACACTCTGGGAGGCCCAGGCGGGCGGATTGCTCGAGGTCAGTAGTTCGAAACAAGCCTGAGCAAGAGCGAGACCACGTCTCTACTATAATTAAAAAGAAATTAACTGGCCAACTAATATATATATAGAAAAAATTAGCTGGGCATGGTGGCACATGCCTGTAGTCTCAGCTACTCGGGAGGCTGAGGCAGGAGGATTGCTTGAACCCAGGAGTTTGAGGTTGCTATGAGCTAGGCTGATGCCACGGCACTCACTCAAGCCTGGGCAACAAAGCGAGACTCTGTCTCAAATAAATAAAGAAAGAAAGAAGTAAGATCACTGGGCAAACAAGACACAGTAGAAATAGGAAAATAAACTTTGGTTGGTACTGACATGATCATATCATCTTTCCTGCCTTCGGTCTCCAGTATAATAACAAAGCAAAATACTTTGGTGAGCGGTGCCCAAACTCAAGATTTGGCACAAGGTCAAACTGGCAAGCCTGTGTCTTCTGTGATCATCTGGAACATGCTCGTTTTGACTCCTTCCTTAACCCTGTAGTTTTCTGGAAAATTAGGCTGGATACTTAGAGAAATATACTGTGGGTTAAAATCAGTTCGGATGGGATCAAATCTGATCTCACCAATTAAAGAGCATGGTGCAGGCACCCAACGTGTGAATCACACACAAACTCAGAAAGCCGGGTCTAAGTTGTAGATTTTATCGACACATACTTCCCGAGGTGGAAGAGGTAGTGATGGTGAATGTAAGATCCATTGCTGAAGTGGGGGCTTATGTCAGCTTGCCTGAGTACAGCAACATCAAAGGCACGATTCTTCTTAGGCGTCCTCAAACTACGGCCCGCGGGCCACATGCGGGTGTTTTTGCCCGTTTGGTTTTTTACTTCAAAATAATATATGTACAGTGTGCATAGGAATTTGTTCATAGTTGTTTTTAAAACTATAGTCCGGCCCTCCAAAGGTCTGAGGGACAGTGAACTGGCCCCCTGTTTAAAAAAGTTTGAAGACCCTTGTGAAATGTCCAGAAGGTGTATCTGTTCTATAAACAAACTCATCTGAATTGGCAGGAATGAAGGTGTGGTTGTCATTAAGGGGGACAAAAAAAAAAAGGATATATTGATTTGTTAAAAAGAGGAGTTTCTCCAGAGGGAGCAATCAACTGTGAAGACAAATTCACAAAAATCCAGAACAGTTGATAGCATTCTTCCTCACACTGCCGAAGTGTTAGAATACACCGAAGACAAGCAGGCGGAAAGCAGTGGGCTGCCTGGGTCTGTGATGACAAGAGACCCGGATATGGTGCCTGTGGTGCATTTAATCGTGCAGTTTCAGATGCATCTATTTTGGATAGTTTAGATTTGAATGAAGATAAACAGGAAGTACCCATTAACAATATTAATAGGCATCTGACCCCACAGGCTGTCAAAATTCAAGTAGATATTGAAGTGGTTTGTGGTTATGAAGGGATTGATGCTGTTAAAGAAGCCCCAAGAGCAGGTTTGGATTGTTCTATGGAAACCAGTCCCATGAACACTAATTCAATAGCTCCTCCTTGGTATGTGAGGACTACGACAACCCTGGAAAGAACAGAAGACCTTTCTGTCCTCGGTCAAGCTATGGCTGTAGTCAACAAAAAGACCGAGGAAAAGAGGAATGTGTTCAGTGTTCAAAGGGATCCCAAAGAGGCCACAGATACGGATGAGACTGAAGTTGCCAGGCAGCTGGAGAGGCTTGAAAGAGAAAATGTGGAAGTGGATGGAGATGATGATGCAGAAGAAATGGAAGCCAAAGCTGAAGATTAACCTTGTGGGAAATAGAGTACAATTTAAGTAACAAAGAGCAGGCCTTCCTGGCTGTAAACTCCAGACTTGAAAGTTTTCCAGTATTGAAAACTTCAAAGCTAAATATTTTTTATTTCCAAGTGTTTAAATGTTCTAACAGACCAGAACATGAAATGGCCTCCTAAATGTCAGCTGTTTTCACACAGTAGCTCCAACGCATTAAGCAATTTTTAAGGGAGTGGCCAAATCACTACAGACAAATCTTTAAGAACAGTCCTAAAATTGGGCTTGTGATGTCCATTCTTGATGTCTCCAGATTGACACCCCATTGTAGATCAGTGCCTCCGTGAGATTTATCAGGGGCACTCAAAGCAAACAATCCCAAGCTTTTTATATAAACTGTATTCAAGCAAATATCAAGTAAATTTCTAGGATTTTTCTTTTAAAAATCAGTTCGGGTGGAATGGAAGCATGAGATAAACCAAAATCCATGACCCTCTATGAGGCAATCATAAACAAACTCAGATTTTGTGTAATTTCTTGACCCTGCTGTATCAGGAGCTGGCTAAAGTCTGTGTTTTTTACTTAATCATTTATTGTGCCCCAGGGATAGGGCGTTGGGAGAAGGCTTGGGATTGCTGTGGAAAGGAGGAAGTTAATGTTGGCCTAGTGTCTTAGATGCTCTGGAAGGACCCATATGAGTACAAGGATATTGGCAAACTTAGCCCAGGGACTAGATCCTGTGCCTGGAATAAGATCTTTGCAGAGGAGAGCTAGAGAGATGCTGGGCTGCCAAGGCCAATCCCAAGCCCCAGGTGCCTATTTATAGCACACACTTCCCTGCACTCCCCAGGTGCCCATCCTCCAGCAGATCTGTCTACATATCATGGGATTATCTCCACTGCTTCTAAATCATTCAGTGCTTCTCCTGAGTCAGGACTTACTTATTAGGGTCTCTTATTATCTGTAATATTAGTCTTTTGATCAATTTTATTATTTATTACTAAATCTTTGCTTGAGATTTTCTTAACTTTCTGGTTTTGTATTTTTCTTCCTTCATTTCTTTTCTTTTCTTTTTTTTTTTTTTATGGTGGCTGGTTCTCACTGTGTTGCCCAGGCTGGACTTAAACTTCTAGGCTCAAGCAATCCTCCCACTTCAGCCTCCCAACTTCCTGGTTTTTACTTTATGAAATAGCTTTTCTTTTTTTTTTCCTCCTTAAATTATTGGCTCCCAGAAATGAAATAGCTTTTCTTAGCTACATTTATTCTGATTAACTATCCATGGTTTTTCTGGCATCACTCTTATTGCTTAAAAAAAAAATGATTACTTATTTAGAGGCATATTATGCCAAACTCTTTTTTCTGTTTTAGAATTTTTTATTTTTGCTTTTATGAAAGAAATTTTTAATGAATTAATTTCATCAGGCAGTTTTAATTCTATTTACTATTTATAAGCATGGGAACTGATTAATATTCAGGGTTTTCCTTTTTGTATCCAAGTCTCTTTCTAAAAATTAGGCCATGACAGCTTGCCAAGCAAAAAGAAAAAAAAAAAAAAAAAAAAAGAAAGGGCTACTGCAGAAAAACATTGCTGCTGAGATTTGACTGAAATGTTTCAATAGTATTGAATAGTGTCATAGACACTGCAGATACCATTGCTTTTCTTGTGATTTTTAATTTTGGGACTGAAACATTATGAAACTCATTTATTGCCAGGAACTTTAGTTATTAGATTGCTCATTAACCCAAAGAACCCCATTTCTCTTGTGGTGAGATATAAAACAAAACTTTAGGAACCCACAAAACCACTTCTTCCACCACTTTTCCCCTACAAAATGGGTTAGAAAGAAAGGAGAATGAAAAATTTATACTCTGCCAGGTATTATGCTATTTATTATACTATTTGTGTTATAGATGAAGGTTCAAATAATCCTCACAATGACCTCATTGTGCACATCTAACAAAGAGAAAATTGAGACCCACAGTAGTGAGGTCACTTAATCAAAATCACACATCTGGTAAGTTGGCAGGGTGGGATCCAAACATAGATCTGCCTAACTTTAATGTCTGGGCTATTCTGCTAGGTACATTGCTCAGAAAAGGACAAAGTTCACTTATTTAAGCTGGGCAATGAGTCCTCAATAAATGTTTCCTACAGGTGCCTATAAAAATTAGAGGCCAATGCAAAGCAAAGGATTATTAATTATAAACCAGATCAATAAAAGTTAGGGTGATATAGATTTCACAGGTCATATCGGAAGCTAAGAAGGCTCTCGGAGTGTTGAGATGGAGTTTGTAACAGGCTAGGGAGGAGCGTGTGGGCAGCGAATGAGGTCCCACCAGGACACAGTCAGAAAACAATGTCTGTCTGTCCCAACCTGCTGCCTTTAAATGGGTGTGGCCCGCCTGTGCAAAATCTTCCAAGAAAAGTGTATGAACATCTCCCAGCCAGCAGTTTCTACAAAATTCATACTGCCACCTTCTGGGGCCCCACCCAATCTCACTACCCCAGATCTCCCTCCCCTCACTACATCCCACTTGGCCAATTTTGAGCACCTTTTCTCTGATGATCTGTTTGGACACACTTTTCTGGAACTACTTTTCAAACTTTTCTGGTTCAGGCTGGCTCTCTATTTTGGCAGAGTTCTAGAATTTGCCCTCCAGTCTATTGCTTCCAGGCCTGCAAAGAGATACCTCTACCTCTGGGTCTGCCATCCATTTGCTGGTGGGAGTCAGGTCAGTCTCCCTGAATGGGAAGGAGGTATGACCCAGATCTGACTCAGGTATCAGATTGAGATCAGAAATCAGACAGGTAAGTGAGAACTGGAAAAGCCATGTTATAAAAACAAGAAATGGGACAAATAAACAGTCAAGAACCATCATGGAACCGCCACTACTGTGTATAACTCTGAGGAAAAGGTTTTGAGGGACTATGTGAATTTTGGAACACTACAACTTTACCGTTAAAGATTAACAAGAATTTGGCCAGGTGCGGTGGCTCACACCTGTAATCCTAGCTCTCTGGGAGGCTGAGGTGGGAGGATAGCTTGAGGTCAGGAGACCAGCCTGAGCAAGAGTGAGACCCCCGTCTCTACCAAAAATAGAAAGAAATTAGCTGGACAACTAAAAATATAGAAAAAATTAGCCAGGCATGGTGGTGCATCCCTGTAGTCCCAGCTACTCAGGAGGCTGAGGCAGGATGATCGCTTGAGCCCAGAAGTTTGAGGGTTGCTGTGAGCTAAGCTGACACCATGGCACTCTAGCCCGGGCAACAGAGTGAGACTCTGTCTCAAAAAAAAAAAAAAAAAGTTAACAAGAATTAGTTTTCACACATTATTTTTATTTTATTTTATTTTAATGAGACAGAGTCTTGCTTTATTACCTGGGCTAGATAAAACTTCTTTTCATACATCTTGGCTAATTTGCTCTGTGGTGGGAGGAATTATGTCAGTGTGCTGAGTTGTCCATAGAGAGATTTTCTGAGGTTCCTGGTGGAAATCTAAGGCAAAACAAAGGAAAAGGTATCCAAACCCTTCCTGCCACAGGCATCTCTGACACCAGACATATGAAGTTAGCTGTGTTGTAAGTAACTGGTGGGAACCCCTGGCCAGCTACATACAAGGCTCCTGCAAGTCCTCCAGAGACAGATACCCAAGGCATGAAGCTAGGCAAAATAGCCCTGGCTTTCGTCCAAAATTTGATCCCAAATCCCTTTTGGTCTCCTATTCTGGCTACAAAAGTCTGCTTTATCCTTCTGCCTTAATAAGAGAGCCAGGCCCAAACCCCTCCCTCTAGGACTCCAGCCTGTCCCCTGACCCTCACCTTACTCCTGGGCCTTCCAAGAACAGAGGAGCCCAGATGGCAACCGCCAGGCCAATCTCACCACACAGCTGCCTAGAGTTCTAAGAGAGAGAGGAGTAGTGTGAGGCCATCCAAAAGGGAGCTGAGAGCCAATGAGTCGCTCTGCTCCTCCCACACAACAGATGTCCAGATGACATGGAGATGCCCAACAGAAGCTGGTAGGGCCAGAACTTGCGGACTTATTCCTGAGGACGCGGGAGACACTCCCTGGAGACTTCTAGAAATGCTTGTGTGGAGTTGGGAGAGAGAACATTGTAGGGGGTTGAAATTATGAATAGATGGGGATCACGAGCTCACAAAATATGCATAAAAATTGCCTGTATGACCTCATTTGTACTTACAGGCTAGAGGCCGGGGATGTTCAGATTTCCTGAGAGAACCTGAAGATGTTTATAGGCTCTCCTCAATTTTTTGAAGTTGATTTCATGTAAAGGAAGGACAGGGGAACTCTATTTCAGTTTAATTTTGTTAGCCCCACAGAGTAATTCCATTAGTGAAATTTTTTAAAAACCCCACTTATTTATACTTCATGTGGCAATGTTCCAAATGATCTTGAAATGGCGATGTCAATCCATGCAACTTGACCCATTTCTCTATAATGTATGATATAATATTCCCTACTTTTCATACCAGGAAGTAAGAGTTTTTCTAGTTTAAAATAATAAACATAGAAGATTTTACAAATGCTTAGGTTTCCAAGTTCTATGTAGGAATTTCTTCTTTTAAAAAGAAAATGTTCTGGCTGGGTGTGGTGGTTCACACCTATAATCCTAGCACTCTGGGAGGCCCAGGTGGGAGGATTTCTTAAGCTCAGGAGCTTGAGACCAGCCTGAGCAAGAGTGAGACCCCGTCTCTACTACAAATAGAAAGAAATCAGCCAAACAACTAAAAATAGAAAAAATTAGCAGAGCATGGTGGCACATGCCTGTATTCCCAGCTATCTGAGAGGCTGAGGCAGGAGGATCGCATGAGCCCAGGAATTTAAGGTGGGTGTGAGTTGGGCTGACATCACGGCACTCTAGCCCAGGCAATACAGTGAGACTCTGTCTCAAAAAAAAAAGAGAGAGAGAGAGAGAGAGAGAGAGAGAGAGAGAGAGAGAGAGAGAAAGACAGAAAAGTTTCTCATGGTATTTACCAGTGTTTCTTAAAGGGTTGTGCTTTAAAAAGAATGGTGCTTCTCAGGAATTTAACAATCACTGAGGTTATTTTTCTATGTCTCCTTCTTCATTTTCCTTTCTCTATCATCTCTCTTGCCCTTAAATGATTATACTTTAGAATTGGATTTTTAAAATTAATTTTTACTTTTGTTAAATATAATTTTCTGTTCCCTACTCTTAATTTTTAAAATTAAAAGGCTAAATTTAAGTTGCCTTTGAG